TCTGACAACGTCAACTCGGATCTGGTGGAAGCGATGCGCCCGTACGGGGTTGTCATGGCTAAGAATACTATTACACCGCCAACCGTCGAGAAGAACTTCATGGGCTCATTACGTTTTGGACTCGCGGGCACACGCGAGATTGTCATCGTCCGGCTCTCCGATTTGTACGAGTACATGACGAAGCTGTCCACTCCTGACAGCAAGGGCATCTGCATGAAGCAGGCCAAGTCGTTCTTCATTAGCATGAGCAAGGAGCAGCTGACCGATTACCACAACAACGCGCAGTACCCGATTTGGCAGGTCACCATGGCCCCTCACGAAGCTCTTTACATGCCACCTGGTTCTTACTTCATTGAGCGCATCGTCGGTCACCCGAACTACGTGGGCTTTCGTGTGGGCGTGCTGGACGGAGACCTCCAGACTGTCAGCAACCTCTCCAAGATCCATGAGAACCTGGCCAAGGAGCACAAGCTGCTCAAGACCCTGTTGGAACAGATGCAGCTTGACAACAGTCCCAAGGTGACTTGGAACGCGAACCCAGATCTAATTGTCATAGGTGTTGGCGAGACAGGGAATGATTGCGCATTGAACTGATATTTACATGTGACTGCACCAACCCTGTGGCACAGATATCGGACAGGTCAGGTCAGATAACCAGATCTATTCAGAATCTTAAGTCCTAAATGCATGCGCTGGCCGATGCGATCAGCTCGCCGTCCGTGCATCTATCGGCGGCGGGCCTGGGCAGGAATTGAGAAGAGACGGTCCCTCTCAGATGGCTCCGACGTTCACGGGCCTTCTGAAAGGTTTTCTAAGCCTTCCCCGAAGACGCAGAACACCTCTCAGAAGGCCCGAGCCCTTCTGAAAAGCCCCGACGCCTTCTGAGAAGGCCTTCTCTTTTTTACTTCCCCCCATTGCTCGCCGCCGAATCCACAGAACGCGTCATTCACATTCTTCTTGCTTGACCCTATAGGTGTTGGCGGCGCCGGCGGATGCCGTGGCAGCCTCGGCGTCGGGGGCAGCTTCGATTGGGCACATCGCCAGGCGGCCTGCAGAGGAAAAGCCCGAGGATCAGAATGGTGAGGACAAGCCTGAGAACCAGGAGAATACGCCAGCGACAGCCGCAGCAGAGCTCAAGGCCCAGAAGGGCGATGGTGATGGTTCTCGGGAGGCCCAGGCTGCGGCCGCGGCAGCAGAGCAGCAGAGCAGCAGCCACCAGCCAGAGCCGCAGCCAGAGCAGCAGCCAGCGCCAGATCAGCAGCCAGAGCAGCAGCCAGCGCCAGAGCAGCAGCTTGCGCCACTGCCCTCCCCAGAGATCGTGGACCCGTCGACCGTGGCAGCGGGGCCGCCCAGCCAGGAGTCTGGCGAGTCTGGCGGAGCCTCTTCCACCAACGGCGGCGGGGCCAAGCCCACGCAGCCGGCGCTGGCGACCAGCGCCGACCCGCAGAAGCAGGAGAAGCCGGAGGAGCCACAGGAGAACCAGCCGAAGTCGAATGAGCCCAAGTCCGCGACCAGCACCGGCCCGCAGAAGCAGGACAAGCCGAAGGAGCCAGAGGAGAACCAGCCGAAGGAGCCCAAGTCTGCGACCAGCGCCGACCCGCAGCAGCAGGGGAAGCCGAAGAAGCCAGATGAGAACCTGCCGCAGGAGCCCAAGTCCAAGCCGACGGAGCCCAAGTCCAAGTCCAAGGCCAAGTCCAAGGCTGCTCCGTCAGCGGCTGCCTGAGCTGAGCAGCCTTCGCTGATGGACTAGGCCGAGGGCCGAGGAACTCGCGGGCCGCGCGAGGGTCCAGGGGAGGATGGGCGTGAGCTGAGCTGGGAAGTCTCTGGCTCGTCCGAGGCCCGTCGCGATGCCGGCCAGAGCATTTGCATGGGCCGTGTGTTGGTCCGCGGTCCATGCGGCGCTGCAAGCTGCGAATTCTAATTTATATTTTCTGGGTGCAAAGTGTGCTTGGCCAAGTGATTCCGGAACGCAGCACTGGCACCATTGGAGTCTCATTCAGATACACGGATGCACGGAAGAGTCCAATTGTGATCGATATTCCCCAATCGCCCCCCCATACCCCCAAAAGGCAAACACACCACAAATTTAAGTTTCCCGACCCCCTCCCATTGTTCTGAGTTGTCGGCTATGGAGCGCGTGCGCACAGCGCGTTTAAGTGGTGTGTGCAGCCGTTGTAGGGATAGTGCCGCGTGCTGCACATGCTAGGCGATGGCCCCAAGAAGCGCCCAGGAGGCCCCAAGAGGTCCCAAGATGGCCCCAATATGGCCCCAAGAGGTCCACAAGATGCCCCCAGGAGGCCAAGAGACCCCCAAGAGGCTCCAAGAGACCCCCCAGAGGCACCCAAGGTGCTCCAAGAAGCCTCGGCGAGAATGCCAAAACGGCCTTGGCGAGGAAGCCAAAATTATTGGTTTTACTATGGTTTGGGCCCCATTTTGGCCTCCCTGGGGGGGACGTTCATTAATGCTCCCCTCTTGTTTGATCGATCTCCTCCAAGATGGCCCCAAGAAGCGCCCAGGAGGCCCCAAAAGGTTCCAGGATGGCCCCAAGATGACCCCAAGAGGCCCCCAAGAGGCCCCCAGGAGGCCCCCAAGAGACCCCCAAGAGGCCCCAAGAGACCCCCCAGAGGCACCCAAGATGTTCCAAGAGGCCTCGGCGAGAATGCCAAAATCATTGGTTTTACTAGGGTTTGGGCCCCAGTTTGGCCTCCCCGGGGGGGACGCTCATTAATGCTCCCCTCTTGTTTGATCGATCTCCTCCAAGACGGCCCCAAGAAGCGCCCAGGATGCCCCGAGAGGTCCCAAGATGGCCCCAAGATGGCCCCAAGAGGCCCGCAAGAGGCCCCCAGCAGGCCCCAAAGAGACCCCCAAGAGCCCAAGAGATCCCCCAGAGGCACCCAAGATGCTTCAAGAGGCCTCGGCGAGAATCCCAAATCATTGATTTCACGAAGGTTTTAGCCACATGTTGGCCTCTTGGGGGGGAGCACTGATTAAGATGACTCCAAGAGCGCATGGGAGAGCCCAAGATGACCTCCAAGATGGCTCAATATACCCCAAGATGTCTCATAATGGCTTCCTCTGTGTGCTGCCCACTTCCCTGATCCAGGCAATTCCTCTGGGCATCGTTTCTGGATGGGCTGGTGGGGATTCGCGAAGCGTCAGCATTTGACTTCGTATTGAGCGTTATTGAAGCTTGCTTGGACGCCCATGATGCCCAGGAGGCTGATATCTCTAGTTGTTTGTGCACTTTCAAATCCCAAATGGCCCTCCATCCTGAGTCGGTGGATGTTACGCGGCGCGGGGGGGGTCGGGGTGGGGGTACATAACAATTTGATTTGTACAACCTTGTATGATATTCAACAATTACGCACGTCAGCCGGCCCCTCATCCTTCCTTCATGACTCCTCGGGGTATCCCTCCCATGGTACTAAGCACGGGCAGACCGCAGACCCTGCTACAATGACCCCACGGTCCGACGAGACCCACGAATTTCGGAACAAACCCGAAAAAACAGCGTGATCACGAAAATGGAACTCGGCACGCCGAACTGCATGTTATAATTGACATTCGTCTGTAAACAAATTCGCGTCGTATCAATTTTTGCCACAATATATGAAAACGTTCAGCGTGCGACACTTACCAGCCGTAGAAACCGCAAAATCCAATTGATAGTTTCCCGTCTGCGCGATACCATTCTATCCAAAACGCACAAGGTTTAATCCTGTCCCTCCTTCTTCCGCGTTCCTCGTCTGTCCTCGTCCTTCCCCCTCCTTCTCCCCGTCCCCTGTCCCTTTCCCGTTCTCCTCTCCCTCCTCCTCCTCGTCGTCCTCTGTCTCTGGGCGTCCCCCTTCTCAATCTCAACGATTTCTTCATTCTCACCCTGGTCCTCCTCTCCTTTCCGCTCTTTGTTTGGGGTCTTTCTTACGTTCCTTCCCCGCTCCTCCACCTTCACTGTTTTGGTAGGCTAGGAGCGACCCCGACGATGGTCATACTTCCACCTGGGACCGTTGGCAGTGGAACTGCGCCGCGCCAGCCGCCAGCAGGGCGCTGCGCTGCCTGCGGGGCGGATGAGGGGAACCTCAACTTCGAGGCGCAGCGGCCAGGGTGCCCCCCGGTTCTGCGCCGAAGCCACGGTGCGGCGCGGCGTCCCCGGCGAGGAGCGCGGGTTGGACGCGGCGGCGGTGCGCAACGGCGCCACTAGCCAGGGCGCCGAGGCGGACAAGCGCAGGCGCAGCTCAGGGGGGGGGCGCGCCTTTTGACCTGTCCGATCCCCGGCGCCGAAGACGGGAGGCCGTCGCGGGCCCGCGGCGCTCAAGCACCTGCACGGGCTAGCCCGCGAGCGGGCGCAGCAGCTGCTCGGCTCGAAGAAGAAACAACGCCATCTACATAAACTTTTGGCGCTCCCCGCGGATTTCTTGGACCCCCGCTGGGCTCCTCGGGCGGCGCCTCCGGCGCCGCCCCTGGCGCGCTCCGCCTGCCAGGGAGGGGGGCCCAGCGCAGATCCAAGAAGTCCGCGCGGAGCGCCACAAGTTTATGGTTATGCAGTTCTTGTTCTTCTGTCGGCGACGGCGCCGTGGCCGAGGCGGCAGCGGGGGCGCTGGCCGGCTGCTGGCGCGCAGAGCCCAGCGTTGCTCTACAAGCCGCCTGCGCCCCACAGATGCGCGGCGCGCTCGGCCAGGAGTGCGCGCGGGCAGCGGCGGTGGCCCTGGCCGAGGAGCGCGCCGGCTCGCTGGCTCGCTGCGGGGGCGTGGAGCGGTGCGCCGGGCGCGGAGGGAGGGCTGCCCTTCCCCGTCGTCGCGGAGCTCGGCTTCGCCAGGGGTGGGGAGCGGGCTCGAGCCGGCAGACCGTCGCGCCGCCTGCAGGAGGAGGAGGAGGAGGAGGAGGAGGAGGAGGAGGAGGACGACGACGTCGACGACGGCGGGGGGCAAAATCACGGGCGGACGGTGGCTGCGGCGGGTGGCCATCGGGGACGGCGCCGACGACGGCGTCCTGGCGGCCACCAGGTCTTGATGGGCGCCTTCGAGCGCTTCGACCGCGACAGCAACGGCCCCGCGGCCGCCGCCCGGGGCATTCTCGGCGGGGGCTTCCCGTGCATCTGCGCAGCGCCTGTTGTCCGCGGTTTTTTTTTTCCCTTCCCCTCGCTAGAGATCCCCGCGACCCACGCAAAGAGCCCCCGCACTTGCGGATAAGAGAGAGAGAGAGAGAGAGCGAGAGAAAAAGAGAGAGAGAGAAAGAGAGAGAGAGAGAAGTCGAGCGAATGAGCAACAGACATACAAAAAACAAAACAAGAATGACAGACAGAGTGCGGCAGGGTTGTCGGCAGCCGAAGAGGTTTCGAAATACCAAGGCGCATGCGCCAATCTCGGACACATTGCACAACGAGCCCGCCGCAGGCGCCGAAGTTCCGTCATAGCATTGTGGGTGGGTCGCGGGTCGCAGGCGAAACGGCGACAACAACAACAAACAAACAAACAAACACACATGCAAACAAGCATGCAACAGACCACGAAACAATTACACAGCAACAATCATTACAACAGCAACAACAACACCAACAACAACAACAACACCAACAACATCAATCACAACATCAGCAAACACGACAACAACATCAACAGTCAGTTTAAGACTGTTCCTCTCTTATCCGCTCGAGTGTCCATTAAGGCGTACGTCCCAAACCCTCGATACCCGCCCTCTTCGCCTTCGATCGTACCATTTCTTGGGGGATACCTTTCTTCCCTGGCGGCCAGGCCCCGGCAAGCGGCCGGGCGGCCGCGGACCGTCGGCCTGGCCAGCGGCAGCGCTGATCGGCGGCAACCCGACCCCAAGAGGGACGGACAGGAGACTGACCGCGACGACGACGACGACGACGTCGACGACGGCGACGGCGACGACGGCGACGGCGACGACGACGACGACGAGCGACAGCGAGAGCGAGAGAGAGAACGACAGCAGGGCCACGAAGGGTACGAATTAGGCCACGAAGGGCGACAGCGGGGACGCGAAGGGAATGCGTACGGGGTCACGAAGAGCGCGAACGAGCGGGGGCCACGAAGGGCAGATAATGCGGGGCCACAGAAGTCAACGACGGGGCCACTGAGGGTAGCAACTGGGCCACGCTGGACAGCGAGGGGCCACAAGGGCCACGAGGGGCATGCGTATATTGGGCCGCGGAGGGCAAGGACGGGGCCACTGAGGGCAGCAACGGGGCCACGAAGGGCAGCGAGGGGGCTGCGAAGGGCGACAGCGGGGCCACGCAGGGCGTGCAGATGGGGCCACGAAGGGCAGATAATGCGGGGCCACAGAAGGCAACGACGGGGCCACTGAGGGCAGCAACGGGGCCAGGAAGGGCAGCGAGGGGGCCACAAAGGGCGACAGAGGGGCCACGAATGGCATGCATACGGGGCCACGACGGGCGCGAACGAGCGGGGGCCACGACGAGCATACATATATGGGGCCACGAAGGGCAGGGAGGGGGCCACGACGGGCTGCAACGGGGCCGCGAAGGGCAGCGAGGGGGCACGAAGGGGTGCAGCAGGGCCACGAAGGGTAGCGAGGGGGCCACGAAGGATTGCAACGGGGCCACGGAGGGCAGCGCAGGGGCCACGAAGGTCTGCAACGGGCCCACGAAGGGCAGCGAGGGGGCCACGAGTCGTCTTGTCGTCGTCGTCGGAGTCGTCGGAGTCGTCGTCGGTGTCAACGTCGTCGTCGGCGTCGGCGTCGTCGTCATCGTTGTCGCTGTCGTCGTCGGCGTCGGTGTCGTTGCCATGTGCCATTTGGTACCTACCGTCACGGTCTCAAGAGGTCGTACGACCAAGTTGCGGGTTGGATGGGATATTTGCACGACCCGTGGAGAGGACAGCTTCAAGACAGTCAAAGCGAATTACACGACATAGATTGCACCGCGTAGACTACAGGTGCCTACTGTTTGGGCCCCACGCTGGCTAACGTATAATTGGTATTTTTCGCAATGTAGCATTATGATTTTTTTAAAGGTATTAATTTGATTCGTGATTATTGCAATTATTATTTGAATGTATGTTTAATTCTTCACTGCGGGAACCATTCCGGGCTTTGGGGTGGTGTCTGACCGCTCGGCGCCTTGATTCTGATGCTGCGCGGAGCGACCCTCACCCGCGAAGGCGAGGCGGGATCCCAGGGAACAGGGGCACCCTTGGGGTTTCTGGCCTGCAGCGGCCGACGCATACACTCGTCTCTCGTCGAGGGCAGGGCCTCGCGGAGACCGGCGCCTGCTCCTCGAAGGGGTGCCGCCGCCCCCCCCCATGGCAGCCGACGGGCGAGCCCGGGGCCTCCGCAGCACGGGCGCCGGCCCGGCGCCGGGGGATCTCCGAGCAGCGGGCGCAGCGCCGCCCGCCCAGCAGGAGACGGGTGGAGGTTGGCGGGAAGTGGAGCTACGAGGTGCCCAGACGCGCTCCGCGTTGCGGACCACTCAAATCAAATCGACGAGGGGGGTTGGACCGTCTTTGGCCCCTGGGGGGCCTTTGCCGGGGCCTGGGGCCGTCAGAAAACGAGTCGGGATGGAGAGATGGTCCCCCGGAGTGGGTCGAGACCTCTAGGGGTCGACGACGTGAGCAAAGCATGACGTCGAGGGTCTGACTTCGGGGGCACCCAAGCTTGGAGTCGGCTGGGGGTCTCATCGCCAGTTCAGGCAATCAGGAAGGGGGTGGTTGGCCTTTTGCATCCTTTTGGGGCCCCCTGGGGGTTTCTCGTCGCCAGGGCTGGACGCGGCGCGAGAAACTCGTGCGTTTGGACCCCCGGATCAAGCAGCGTCGAAGCGTCTTGGCTCGCCTATAGCCCTACCAAACAATGTTCTGAGAACCTTTTGTGGTTTCCACGGAATGTTCTTAGAACTTTTTTGGCGGAGTCTGTATTCTTGTATCACATCGGGCTTATGTTCTAAGAACCTTGCTTGTGTTCTTAGAACACTTTTGGGTTCTGGGAACACTTCGTGGTATGACTATAGGAATGCCGGGACGGTCGGTCCCCGCTCCACAGGAGGGGCCCAGGAACAGACTTCGAGCCTCCGCCGCAGACCCCCCAGCCGCCTCCCAGCCGAAACATTGGCGGTGGCCACCACGCGGGGTGAGACCGTCGGCATCTTGGGTGGCCGCACGGTTCGGGGACTCGGCTGGGATGCCTCGGGCGACTTTGGGGCCTCCGCCATGGCGGGCCGTGCGATGAGGTCTTTCGGTATTTGAAGCCTTCGCACAGTACGTACGTCACCACACCTTGTCGGAGACCTTCTACCATCCTGGAGCATATCCCTATCCCTATGCTGGGCACCTCCTCATCACGATGCCAATCTTAGGGATTCCCTTATTTTTTGAGGGTGAGTCCCTAAGATTGTCATCGCCTTTTGGCGTGTCAATCTTAGGGATAGGGATACGTTCGAGGCTGGTAAGACCCCCACGGACGAAGATACCCACCTGTTTTTATTTTCTCGTCGCCGTGCTTGCGCTCGGGAGCCCTTGCTTCGCACGTCGCGGCGGCGGCCGCGGCGACACGCTCTTCCCTCCAGGCGGATCGCGGGGCGCTCCGCTCCGCGGGGCGGGAGGCCAGGAAAAGCTCCAGACGCTGACAGTCGAGGACTGGGATGTGGCCAGAGTGTCGCGCTGAAGCGTGGTGGGCCAGAGATTGGCGGCGAGGCACGCCAAGGCCAACGTTCCCGACCGTACCGTCAACGTAGCATCATGCCGGCGCCGGCCACGCCGCAACCTGGAGCCCCACACGAGACCTCTTGCGCCGAGTGTTCACTGGCGGACGGGCGCGTCGTCTGAAGTTGCACCAGGGCTGGCTCCATCGGCAGGAGCCACACGGGGAGGAGGAGGAGGAGGAGGAGGAGGAGGGCGAGGAGGAGGAGGAGGAGGAGAGGAGGAGGAGGAGGAGGAGGAGGAGGAGGAGGAGGAGGAGGAGGAGGAGGAGGAGGAGGAGGAGGAGGAGGAGGAGGAGGAGGAGGATGGAGGAGGGGGGAGGAGGAGGGGAGGAGGAGGAGGAGGAGGAGGAGAGGAGGAGGAGGAGGAGGAGGAGGAGGGAGGAGGGGGAGGAGGATGAGGAGTAGGAGGAGTGAGGAGGAGGAGGAGGAGGAGGAGGAGGAGGAGGAGGAGGCCGGAGGAGGAGGAAGAGGATGAGGAGGAGGACGAGGAGGGAGGGAGGAGGAGGAGGAGGAAGAGGAGGAGGAGGCGGAGGAAGGAGGAGGAGGAGGAGCGAGGAGGAGGAGGGAGGAGGCGAGGAGGAGGAGAGGAGGAGGAGGAGTGGAGGAGGGCGAGGAGGAGGAGGAGGAGGGAGAGGAGAAGAGAGTGGAGGAGGAAGGAGGGAGGCGGAGGAGGAGGGCGAGGAGGAGGAGGGAGGAGGAGGGAGGAGGGCGAGGAGGAGGATTGGTGCCCTCCCCGAGCCAGTGGAACGGAAGAGAAGGGCCAGTCGAGGCCGCGGCGTCCCTGCCTGGCCTTTGCCTCGGTGCGGCCCCCCGATGTGCAGGGCGGGGCAGCGCCTCGCCGTCGCCCCCCGATGTGCAGGGCGGGCCAGCGGCCCGCCGCCTCGCCGCCGCCCGCGGAGGCGAGGCGGCGGGCCCGCGGGCGGAAGGGCGGCGGGAGGAGGGGACGTCTAGGCCCCCTGGATGGGGTCGGAGCAGATTCGGAGGTGGACAGACCTCCTACCCTGGCACGTCGATGAAGGAACTGGCCCTTTTCGGTTCGCGGGAGGGCGCTGCGGCCGTCGTTTTTGCGGCCCAGGTGGGCTCTCACGCGTCGCCTGCGGCGGGGGCCCGGCCCGCGGAGGCGAGGCGAGGCGGCGGACCCGCTGGCGGAAGGGCGGCGGGAGGAGGGAACATCTAGGCTTCAGTCGAGCCTGTCCCTCGACAGGAGGAATATTCAAAAATAGTCCAAATATAGTCTGGGGAACACCTAGGCCCCCTGGATGGGGTCGGAGCAGATTCTCGGATATAGCCAGGACCCCTGGTGGGGGGGACCCGTTCAGCAGTGGGGCCCCAGAGCCCCTGAAGTGGCCCGGATCACTGACCCAGGTCTGCCGCAGCTGGTGTTTCTCGCGTGGCGGCAGTTCCGCTTCGTGGAACGGGGCGGGGGGGAGCGTCCCCCAGCACACATCACTGAACCAGGTCCCACTAGACCCAGTTCTGCCAACGCCCGACAGATGGGGTCGGGCGATCGCGCGGGGCAGACGGGGTCGGGGTAATGAGAGGGGGCCTCCTGTGCGGGGTCGGAGCAGATCGAGGCGGCGGCGGCTCCCCGGGCGGAAGGGCGGCGGAAGGAGGACAGAGCAAGGCTTAAGGTGGGCATGTCCCTCTACAGGGGGGATGCTCAAAGAAAGTCCGGGAATCGTCTGGGGGCGATTGTTCAACTATTTCTGATAGTTTTGGAATATTTCCCTACCTAGGATCTGCCTAGAGGGTTCTTACCGTGTGGGCTTAAGGGGCCGGGCAGTGTTCCCCGCCCGGGCGGTTCCCCCAGGATCTGCCCCGTGGTTCCCCCAGTCCCCTGGGAGCTTCAGCTTCAGCTTTAGCTTTAGCTTTAGCTTAGCTTTAGCTTAGCTGTAGCTTAGCTTTAGCTGAGCTTTAGCTGAGCTTTAGCTGAGCTTTAGCTGAGCTTTAGCTTAGCTTTAGCTTAGCTTTAGCTTTGTGTTAGCTTAGCTCTAGCTTAGCTCTAGCTTAGCGTTAGCCTAACTTTGGCTTAACTTCAGCTTAGCTTTAGCTTAACGTTAGCTTAGCTTTAGCTTAGCTTTAGCTTAGTTTTAGCTTAGCTTCAGCTTAGCTTCAGCTTAGCTTTAGCTTAGCTTTACCTTAGCGTTAGCTTAGCTTTACTGTTACTACTAATGCTGCTTTCCTTGGGGCTCCAACTCCTAGGTAGGGTCGCACTGGGATAATTTTGAAGTGTTGTCAATGTTTGGCTCCAAATCTGCCTGCAGGAGGACATGCCCGACTTGAAAAACCTGAGGCGTCATCATCACTTGGGATCCAGTGCAAGGGCTTCTGGCGTCGGCCAGTCGAAGGCTGGCGGAGGCTCCAATCGATAGTAAGATCGATGCTAAGATTAAGTAGCCGATCGATAGTGAGACTGATCGATATGTTGATAGTGGGGTCGATCGATGACTCGGGGGAAAAGGGATCGTGAGATCCACTGGTGGACTGATAAGTTGCATACTTACGGTGGATCGATTTCCCGTGGATGCCCCGACGTCTGTCTCGCGGTTGCTCCGCGGTTATCCCGTGGTGGTGTGTTGTTTGTCTTGTGGTTTCCTTCGGTTGTTCCGTGCTTGTCCCGTGGTTGTGTTGTGGTTGCTCCGTGGTTGTCAAGATGTTTGTCCAACGTTTGACTGGGTGGTTGTTCCGACGGTTGCCCCCCATGGTTGTCCAGTGGTTCTCCCGTGGTTTTCCCGGTTGTTGTCCCGATGGTTGTCTCGATGGTTGTCCCGATTGGTGTCCCCGCGGGTGTCCCGTCTGCAGAAAGATGGTTCAGCAGTGAGTGCGATGCACATTTTCGTTCATCTAGATCGAAGTATAGATTGGTGGGTCGATTGATACGGAGGCCAACAGATAATGATGCGGATTGATTTGCTTACCTTGGGATCGATGGAAAGATGGAGGGCCTCAGATAATCAGCGTTTTTGTTCGTATGTATGCGCACTTCTGTATACATAGCGAGACCGTTAGATATTATTCGCCACGCCGCAGGGACGCCAACTGCTGACCGGAAACTGGACCCTTCCCCCCACAAACTCCCTATCACCCGAAGGTTGGCGTGTGCGTACACATCTAGGGGGGGAGAGAGCGAGAGAGAGACAGAGAGAGAGAGAGAAACAAAAAAAGAAAACCAAAGCGTGATAGAGAGAGAGAGAGAGACAGAGGAAGAGAAAGAGAAAGAGAGAGGGAGAACGAGAGAGAGAGAGAGAGAAAATGATCAACGTATCTAGATTTAGATGTTTAGATAGTTGTGCCAGTGTATACAGTCTAGATATCGATTGGTAGAAAGGGTGGGAGGGCGAAAGGAGGGAGAGCGAGACAGAGAGTTAGATCGAGCTGGGGAGAGGCATGTGAGAGGGTTGGGGGGGGGGTAGGAGACGTGGGGAGGGGCGGAGAGGGGGCGACGCGGAGGGAGGGTCAGGTGGGTTGTGCGTGGTGGAGGGGGTGGGGGGTAGCAGCTGGGAGCGGAGGGTGTGCGGCTGAGGCAAGATCGACGTCCACGAGTTCGACCTCGCCCTGCGCTGGAGGGGACGTGGGGACGCGGGCTCGGCCCCGCCTGCGGCGCGGGGAGGCCTCTCCCTCGGGGCCCCCCCCGAGCGGCGCGGCGACCACACCGTTCTCTGTGCCAGCGGGAGTTCGGACTCACGGCCAGGAGCTTTTGCATAGCGTGGCGCGGCGACGGCCCCGGCGACACGTCCTGCCCCGCAGGAGGATAGCGTGCGTTCCGCTCCGCAGAGCGGGGTTCTCGAAGAGGCTCTCGGGGGCGGAAAAGAGGGGGGTGATGACTAGGGGGGGGTGGATATCATGGCGGGGGCCATGATATTTCCCCAGATTTCATGGCGCCTCTTCTCATTTCATTACGTCCCTGGCCCCCCCGCGGGGCCGCGCACATGCCGCCGGTCATGATTTGCACCCCCCCCTCCTGGACACCCCGCTCTTGACCGCTCCCGAGGCTCGGGACGCTTAGCCTGGGGATTGGGAAGGGTACAGCGCGGCGGGCCGGAACCAGCGGAGCGACACGCTATCCAAAAGCTCATTGACCGTACCGGACGGATTTGGGACTTGGGTCGTTATCATGAGACTTCTCAGGTGATCGGGGGCACCCGAGGTCCCAGAATCATGCGGTGACGGGCCGTGCGGGCGAAATATTGTGGGGCGTCGAGGTCACCGCGCGGACCGTCGCAGCACCGTGTTTTGGGACCACTTTCCCAAGGGTGCCCCTGCATCCATGCCTCTCTGGTGCATCCTTGACTACTTTCGAGGGCCCGCCGCGTTCGAAAAGCTTCGGCATGGGCATCCAAGGGGCTTGCATCCATCACGCATCCTTGTTATCAGTTTTGTACAGTCAAAACTGACGGTAAGGATGCACGACCAAGATGCAAGGGCTTTGGAAGGCCATGCCGAAGCTTGTCGATCGGGGCTGGCCATCGGAAGGGGACAAGGATGGACCGAGGAGGCAAGGATGCTAGGGTACCCTTGGGAAGGTGGCCCATCCTTATCATCAGTTTTGACTCTACCCTCCCGCGGCTTTGGCCAGGAGAGGAGGGAGGAGGACACCGGCTTCCAGGAAGGACCACGGAGGTCACCACGGAGGTCGTCACGTCTTCTCATGGAAAAACCAAGGTGCGGCCAGGAGGGAGGAGTTGGGATCGAGGAGTGAGGTTTGAGGATCGAGAGATAGGATTTGGAAGACCTTGGGGCTGCTGCAGGGTTCTGCGGGGTCCATGGAAGGCCGTCTCCTGGAATAGTTTGGCATTGCCTGGGCTTGGTTTAAGTCGGGCCTGTCCCTGTACAGGAGGGATGTTCAAGAGTAGTAAAACAAATGGTCTTGGGACGATTTTCTTGACTATGTTTGAGCATTTTTGAAGTATCTGTTGTGGAGTATTTTCAATTGTTCGCCCAAACTCGTTTTGGCGCGCTCCAATGTCCGGAGTATTTTTTATTATTGAGCATTTTCGAATATGTTTAAATATGTTTGGAGTGTTCTTATTGTTTGGAGGGAGCATTGTTGGAGTATCTTTAGCATTTCGCCCGAAATGCTTCGTCCAACATGTTTCGCCCAAGATTTTGAGCATGTGTGGAGTACTGTCAATCTGTCGCCCGAGGTCCCCCTGCAGGGGGACGGGCCCGACCGAAGGCCTGGCTGCAGCGGCCCGCGGGCACAGCCCGTGCCTGCAGAGCGCAGATGTATCGCGGGTCGACTCGGAGGCTCCTCCGGGACCGCCCTGAGCTCACGTCGGGCGTGCCCCTCTACAGGGGGGAGATTCAGCGATACGGTAGGTTTGCGTCGTGTCGACCAGCGGCGACCCCAGCGCGGGCGTTCAAGGTTGAACGCCGCCGGCGACCCAGAATCGATCGATGTTGAACGATCGGGCGTTGCGGCGGCGGCCGATCGTTCAAGGTTGAACGATCCCTGCGGTGTCAAAAACCAACGCTGGGGTCGGAACGACACGAACCTGCCGTAGTCAAAACAATAGTCTAGGGACGATTTTTCGACTATGCCCCGTAGATACCCGTAAAACTAGGGTTCTGATATCAATACGACGATTTTTCGATAGTCAAAACGACGATTTTTCGATAGTCAAAACAATAGTCTAGTGTTTCTGATTACCCGTAAGGACTTCGCCCCATGCCGCCGGCCCCCTGTCTCGGATAATCGTGAGGTCTGGGCGCCGCCGTGGAGCAGTGTCGGGACCTGTCTGTGTTTCGACCCTGACCCTAGCGATCTGCGTCAGGGGTGCCACCGAATTTCAGAAATGAGGCAAATCCCGTGTGTCTTTGGACCCTGACCCTACGGATCTGCATGCGGAGTGCCGCCGGATTTCAGAAATGTAACAAATCCCCTGTGTTTTTGGACCCTGACCCTGCCGATCGGCATGGTGGGTGCCACCGAATGTCAGACATGTAGCAAATCCCGTGTGTTTTTGGACCCTGACCCCGCCGATCTGCGTGAGGGGTGCCAGCGAATTTCAACAATGCTGCAAATCTTTTTGTTTTTGGACCATGACCCCGCCGATCTGCGTGAGGGGTGCCACCGAATGTCAGAAATGTGGCAAATCCCGTGGGTTTTTGGACCCTGACCCCGCCGATCTGCGTGAGGGGTGCCACCGAATGTCAGAAATGTTGCAAATCCCTTGTGTTTTTGGACCATGACCCCGCCGATCTGCGTGAGGGGTGCCACCGAATGTCAGAAATGTTGCAAATCCCTTGTGTTTTTGGACCATGACCCCGCCGATCTGCGTGAGAGGTGCCAGTTTTTACACACTCCAGCAATTCAGAGCACACGCTCAGGGCGTGCAAAACCTGCCCGTTTGGGCCTCCCCCCCCTCGCGCGGTCCATCAACAAGGAACAGTAAGCAGCAAGAAGCAGAATTGTAACAGTGGAAACCGGAAGCTGCAACTGGTACAGGAAACTGCGAACCTTCGCCCTACAGCCTGGTGGCCCCACAAGGGGGCCAGCTGATTTTTTGGGCGATTCTTATTTTTCATCCAAGAGCGGCCTGTAGGGGGACAGGCCCGACTTAATCTTCGGGGTCACCCTCAGCTTCCCCGAGGCGTTCTCGGTCCAAAGGCCTCGGGGACCAGCAGACATCGTGAAGCCCCGTGGGCGTGTCGCCCCTGTTGGAGTCATGGAGGCCTCTTGGAGTGTCTCTTTGGGGCTCCTTGTGGGCTGTGGACGGGTATCGTCGTTGCCCTTGGGAGTGCCGTCGGGCCGCCTTGAGCTGGCCCTAGGACGTGTTGCAGCCGTATGGAGGCTGCATTCTGCCGTCTTGGAGCCGCCTGGCGACCGAGAGGGCGACGGAGAGCAGCTCTCGACGCTTTGCGCGTCCTCACCAGCCCATCTGACGGCACGCGCCCGTGCTCACCTTTTTGAGCAGCCTGGCGTGTGCTGGTTTCGTCTGGTCGCACGCGGTCTAACGTGGTGTGGTCGGGCGTTGTGCCATGTAAGCCGACCTGGCTCAAGATTGGGCCCAGCATGATTGCGGAGACTTGGGTTTCGAGAGTCGGAATTCCAACCAGGTGCGGTTATCGAAGCGGCCCCCTGGCGTTCTCCACCTCCTCGTCTCTGTGCTTCCATGTCGGCATCCGCTTCCCCGTCGTCGAAGCAGTCATCCTTCTATTGTTGTCCTGGTTGTCCTCCCACTTCGTCCACCTCCCATTTTCCGCGCCTGCTCGCTGGTGTGCTTCCCATGCTGCAGGCACGTAACATAAGACATCGGATTGCTAGAACATACCCTGCGAGCATCTATCATCTTTCGATGGCCCCTGGGGGGCCAAAGAAGCTCAGGGGCACCCGAGGACCCTCAAGAAGATCGACGTACAATGTGCTCCAAGATTCTGATAGCAGGATTCCTCTCGCTTGGGGGGGGGGTACGCCTGGAGCATGTGCAGTCAAGTCGTTGTGGGGCCTTCTCTCGGTGGCCTCTTGGGGCCTTTGGGGGCCTCATGGGGACGTCCGGGGCCTTCGCGGGGCGCCTCTTGCGCCGTCTGGCCCCGTCGGGAGCCATCCAGGGGGCCTCTAGGAGCCAGTGTCGGGCTCCCTTGGGGTCCTCTTGGAGCCGTCCTGCGGGCCTCTTAGACCGTCTTGGGGGCATCTCTGGGCCATCATGGGACCCCCTGTGGGCCGTCTTGGGGCTCGCGTTGGGGCCTCTTGGGTCGTCGTGGGGTCGTTCTGGAGGCTGTCTGGGCCGTCATTGACCCCCGAGGGTCCAAGAAGCCGAGGACAACTATCCTTCAAACCTCAACAGGAACTTCAGGTGCTTGGCATCTGGAGACACCCGTGGGGGCACTCTAGGGGCCCTCTGGGATTGTCTTGGGGGCCTCTTGGGCCCTCGTGGGGCCACCTTGGGCCGTCTTAGCGCCGTCCTGTGTCGTCTTGAGGCCATCTTGAGCTGTCTCGAGGTCCTGTTGGGCCCCCAGGAGGCTCAAACGGTCGAGCTCAGTCATGTCCCGTATATTATGGTTTGTTTATGATGCCCCTAAGGAGGTTCACCATCTTTGGTCGGCGGATGTTGCGTGGCGCCAGCGGGGAGGGCGGGGAGAAGGGGGGCACAATAATGGGAACTCACACGCTAGATTCACCACCCACCAAACCACCCCAACCCAACCCGAAGGCTCAGATTTACCCTCGATTTCCAGTGGGGGGGGTTCGGGGAACATCGACAAAAACACATGTGGAACCCTTACCCCCCCCCAACCCGAAATTCGGGTCTTCGGGTTGGATTGGGGTGGTCTGGTAGGTAGTCATAGATGGCAACAGACAAACATGGGATACATGGGATACGCTGCATTACAGCCTCCGCGGACTTGCCTCTGGCGATACGCTCTCCTTCCAGACGTGGGCTCCACTCGCTCCGCGGGGAGCACGTCTGGAGCACGTGCAGTCACGTCGTTGCGGGGCCCCCTGGAGGAGGAGGAGGAGGAGGAGGAGGAGGAGGAGGAGGAGGAGGAGGAGGAGGCTTCTTGGTGCCTCGTGGGGGCCTCCTTGGGACCTCTCGGGGCCGCATGGGGGCATCGTGGGCCA